TGTGAATGTGTTATGAATGAGTTAGGTTTTGTCGATGGACTCATGAGTGAAGTGTGTTGAAAGGGTGGGGAATTGTGAATGTGTGGTTAAAAAGCGTTTGCGTGGTCGGAAGGACTGAAGAGGTAAACAGGTCTTACTTTTTTCACAGCAGCCATTTTGACATTAAAATGTAGGGTCAACTTCAGGTGTTTACCAATTGATCAGGGTGCTGCTTGCTATTGTGCATGTTAGCTCAGTAGAAAGGATCTGCTACACTAAATGGAAGTGGATTATCCTGAGGATAACATTTCTGGAAAGAGATGCTTTTTAGGGTAAACAACCTTGAGTAGGACAACCTGTTGCTTAGTAACAGTGACAGACAATAGCCTTTCAAGAATTTGCAAGAATCCACCAGGCCTAACAAAACCAACCAATCAGAACAGAGAAAGATAGTTGAGTCTCATTCCCAGGTCGTCAAATATTAATGTTGGGAATGAGACTCATCAATCTTCAAGCCACCAGCCTAAAGTATCTTTATATGTTTTCTGGTTCTGATTGGTTGTTTTCATTCAGGCCCGGTGGAATCTTGCAGATTCCATTAGGAGCACTACGAGGAGCCAGAGGAACCAGATTTTTTCACAGATTAGATCTACTGTCAGGATATAGTGAAAGTTACAGCAAATATGACAAAAAGTTATCTAAAAAAAACAACAACAACCTACTGTTCCTTTAATGAATGAAATAGAAAAATACATTGCTGTAGATTTCAGAATGCGACTGGTCGTACAGTCATATGAAAATAAACCACACCTTCGAGAAATTTAGAAATTCGCCATGGAAATAGTATAAGGGTTTTAATATTTTGTATGATACCATAAAAGGAAAGCTTGCTGGAGTTCTTACTGTCTGCAGACGTGCTGGCATTGCTCCGCTGTCATGTCTGTCAGCAGTTCCTCCAACCAAGCCTTCCACTGGTGGGCGCGATGGAGCAGCACGGTAGCCCGTGGGTACAACAGAGCCACTGTGGCATAGCTGTGCAGCTGCTCCAGGCAGCCATGAAGGGCCCCGCGGCGCTGCTGCAGCAAGGAGCTGACCTCTGCCTCCAGGCTCTCGCACTGGCTGATCAGGTGGGCCTGGCCTGCATTCTGCAGGAAGGCTGTAGCTGGTACATAGCTAGGAGGACCTGGAAGAATTGGACAACCGAGAACAAGATGGAACACAACTCAAAGAAACTACAAAAAATTGCTCAATATAGAATTTTAACAATACATTTCACCACACTTATTTAAAGACAAGTTAGGCCTTAAAAAGTAGCAGCCTTTAAATTGCATTCTATTCTGCATGCTGGCAGGATGATCTTGGTGGCAATTTGCTTGATGACTCTCATAATTCTAATAAACACCCACTGGTACCTAGCTAATTAAATACATCATATCCAGATATGTGTATAAAAATGGGGAAGCACATTTTACATAAAACCAAAGAAAACTGATTCTTAAAAACTAAATTATCCATTGCTTGCATCATTTCCAGTGGCACTAACCAAGATCTATGGGACTGCTTATGTCCTGCAGCAGGCTGGCCAGCTGGGTGGCCTCCAGGTTGGAAAATGCTGCCTGGTACTGGGTGATCCACTGGTCCAGGTCAGCCAGTTTGCTCTGAATGGCCTCCTGCACAGTCCGCTGCCGTGACTGCAGCTGAGTGTGCTCAGAGTACCTGTGAGGAGGAGGGCTGGGTGAATAAGTTTTCATAAAGTGGTGCTACATATTGTTGCATACAGTATTTATATGAGCCACCTGCCTGGCTCCTCCCTGTATATAAAGAAGAGAAAATCCATCTCAAGTCTTAAGCATTTTGTGAAAGTCATTCTTTGTTGAAATTATTTCTTGTGTCTTTTGTTTTGATTCATTTTAATTTGGATTTGGAGTAAATGAGTATTGTGCTGTTAGACCTTTGCTCGAGGGTGAGGATTAGATGATCTGGATGGTTCTCGGCCCCCTCCAGGAAGGCCATCTCCTCCTGAAGTTTGGCTTGTAGTTTTTCCCCCTGGCAGAGCAGCTCCTGTAGGACCAAGTACTCCTCCACTGCCTCTTCCACTTGTGGCAACACTGCCAGCATCTCGTCACGATTCTTAAACCAGTTTACCTGCACACAGTCCACAGTCACACTCAAAATCCTCAAATGCTTTGCTTCTAGATCATTTGTGTGCAGTACTTCAATAAATCAAATGATCTATCTTTGTAGGGATACTTTCCATAATGTTGTCAGACACTTAGAATAGGAATACGAGCCTGTCAGTGGCAGAAACAACAACTTTTAGTAGACGTACTTTGATGGAAAGACTAACGTTACAAGGAAGCCATAGTAGCCTATTTTGCAGCTTATTTTCTCATCTAACTCAGTGACTTTGTTCAAACCAGCATAGGTGATTGTTGGAACAGTGGAAAGACTAACAGACAGTTGTGGTGAGTTGTATTG